CAAAGTGGGCTAAATTTGAACAAAGTAATGGAGAAAACCTAATGCTTTCACAGTTCCTCCTAGAACAGTATAGCTCAACATTCATAGAAACATAGTGTTGGAAGGACCTCAAGGATCATACCTCCCAACTTCATGCACAGATGCAATATTCACTACTCATAAACCATCCTAAATATATGTTTATGCGGTCTCTTTTTGCAAACTTCCAACTATTTTCCAGTTGATCTACAGCTGTTTTACTGCAGTTTAAACTCCTTGTCTCATGTCCTGTCTTCAGTGGCAAAAGAGAACATTTTTCTCCATCACCTTTCCAGCAGACTTAAGAATATTTGAAAACTGATATCTTGGACATGCTCCGCTCCACCGTCTATCCTTAATCTCCTATTCTCCAAACTAAATATACCTAATTCTTTCAACCTCTTCCTAATATGGCTTGCATTCCAAACTCTATACAATCATTATCGCTTAACTCGGAGCCCTCATTGCCAAAATTTGCCCAAACAGAAAAAAGGCCCTGATTCAGCATGTTCCTAATGGTATTACCCACATTCTTAAGGTGACAGTGCTGTATTGAGGCCAAAAAAGTGCAACTGGACACAAATATGATTCCATTCCAAGAGCAGAGTCCCTTCTGTAAAATACGAATATGCAGATACATTGCATAGAAAGTAATGCAAGAGCCATACTCTGACATCAGATACACCCTGCAGCCTTTTAAATTTGGCCCTGCCTTTCTTATTAAGGAATGAAAATGCTTCAGCCAAGTTAAGATGACTTGCATACTGAAAGTCCTTGGCTGCTAATGCTGTTGATGCCAGATAAAACAAATAATAGAGCCTGAAGGAATGGAAATCTCTAATTCTTCCATACACTGAATTTATTTATGGTTCACTTGGCATGAAATATTTTTCCCCTTTGGCACCAAATGAGTTTTTAAACCAGAAACAAATTTTGATATTAAAAAAAGAGTCTTGGCCTGTAAAAATGACAACACAAATTAACAGGAATGCACACTTTCACACAGGGAAAGATGATTCATTAACTGCTCCTTCCCTATTGGAGAAGAACCCATTTTTGGCTTGTCCTCAGAGAGTCTGAGGATACTTATAATACAAGCAGCGTTTAGAAAAACTTCATTACACAGAGAAAATTCCAGGCTTCAATTTTTCTTCTTGAGAGAGTTCAGTGGTTGCTTTATTCTCTCTCTCTCTGTGTTTTTATACACAAAATTAGGTTCTAGCAAAGGAAAGTGCATTTATGCAAAAGCAATTCATCAACCACTTCTGTGCTCAGAATTCACTGAGGTAATTTAGATACTTTAATGGCAAGGTAGTTTAGGTAGGTATGCAATGAATGTTTCCCCCCAGCCCCTCCAAACAGCCAGCGTAATGGAAAATGTGTGCTCTAAATGAATCTTTTCAGTAAAGTAATTCTTGTTTTAATTATTTATCAGTTAGCAAATATGAAATATAACTACCTAGCAAACTTCTTTAGACTATCTTTTTATGTTGTAGGAGTGCTCTTATATTAGACAAAGTTTTATGCTAGCTGTAATTAAAAATGGATCGTAATGCAGTATGCTGCACTATTCTATCTTGTGACATTAAGTGTGTAGCAAGCTTCTACCCCTATGAGAAGACCCTTTGAATCCTTTATTTGCAATATTTTCACCATGGCCTTGACCCCAGTGATGTCAGACATATATTACATTGCCACTATAATTTACTGTTGACATCATGGATTAAATTTGTTGTTTCAGCTAATGCAACAGAGCAAGCAAGGTAGATTGTGAAACAAAGCTACCTACTGAAATACGAGGGTTGTCAAATATAAATTTACAAAAGATATTCAGACTGAGCACAGAAGACAAAAATAAATGGACAGAGAAGCCGTTTTTGACAGACTGCAAGGGGCTAGAGACTTAAACTTGAGCATTGTAAATCCAAATGTCACAAAAAACTGCTACGGAGTGTGAGACATGTCTATTTCTCAGGAATATAAATGGTGATATGAAACCAAACTTTCAAGATGCTGTGCATTTTTTAAAAGTATATCACTATTGCTTGATAACAAATTTAGGGATCTTTTCCCTTAGCTTTAAAAGCAAAAGAATTCATAATTTAAATCCAGCCACCAACAAATTAACAATATTTGGGGCAGCTAGACTTGAAAAATGGCAAAATGCTATCTTTCTCCATTTTCTTTATTCAGTAAAAATGCACCATCTTAGTTGATAAAGCATAACTTAAACTTTAGTGCACTGTGTCCAATTAATTAATGTATGATTATATGCACAGCTAAAAATACTATTGCCACCTCTTTTATGTCTCTGGGGAAAGGTGCTATATAAAAGTGAAATATTTTATTGCATGTATGTTATATTATTCACATAATTCAGGATGTGTTCTTTTGCAAAGGATTTACTGCAGTTCCAACAGTGATATAGTATGTTAGTGCCTATTGACAGGACTCGATTAAGCATGACATCCAAGAATTCTGGATGGCTAGAAATGCTGTCACACGTCCACTTACTGTATCCTGTAGAACGTTCTGTGATGCTTTTAAAAATTCCAACTCCTAAAATCATGAAGAAAATAACAAACTGCAAATACAGGAAGAAAATGCTAGCTGGGCCATGCAGCTTAGAGATTTCTAGTTCTCAGCCTGAATCAGCAACAAGAATATGCTATCTTTATTTTACAGCTTTTGGGAATAAATCTAAACATGAGGAAATTAAACCCCGACTCTATGACCTAAATAAATTGTCAAAATAGATTTAAGAGGAACATACTTTGGAGTAGTCACAAGACTATCAACCAAGTAACTGTGAACTACCAAAATATGTAAATAGGGCAGCACTGTTTCAGGAACTGTGAAGAGACATGACACCTTTTTGTGAGATAGTTGAAATAACTGAAAAGTGACTCACGTATTTCAGACTGACTCCCTGTGGTTAAAATCCAGTTATGATCCTCCCAATGCACTGCTTTCCTTTGTCAATAAAGGTTCTGAAGTAATGTATAGAAAGAAGAGCACCTACTCCTTATGGGCCCAAGTTTTTGTTTCTTCTGTACCCAAATTTCCATTGATTTCACATACATATTACATGCTTAAACCAGGTTGAAGAAATGTAAAGTTAAGATGAACATTTCAGCTTTTCTTACTGTGTCCAAGACATTATGAGATACAACTAAATGATTTATACCATCCAATCTTTCAAAATCTCTCATACAGGAAAAAAATAGATACTTAAATCTGCTTTGTTGTACTGATAGTCACAGCTTCTTTCAACCTTTATATTAATTTTTTTCTAATTATTCCTATTTTTTAAAACATTTACACTGACACACCTGGATAGTGGGTATGGCATGGCTAATATACCCTGATATGTCATGTGATGTAATTATTATGTAACAAATCTGTCATAGTTTCATAGATGTTAGGCTCTGAAGGAACCTATTAGATCGAGTCCAACCCCCTGCCCTGGGCAGGAAAGAGTGCTAGGGTCAAATGACCCCAGCCAGGTGTCTGCCCAATCTCCTCTTAAACACCTCCAAGGAAGGGGACAGCACCACCTCCCTTGGCCTCATGCAATCAGCAAAAATCACAAATTAAGTAGGTCCCTAGACATCAGAAGATTGTACTTGTAGGGTGCATCTACAAATGCTGATTTAAGGCGCATTAGCCATTTTTAGGGTGCGTTAAGGGCACATATCTACACATGAGCACCATTAATGCACGTTAAGAATGGCAATTTTAGGCCATTTGTGCCTAAATTTGATACCTAAAAGACAGTTCACACACTGTGTCAATGTGCCTTAGCACGTGGACATGTACACATGTGCCTAAATCACCTTAATGCACATTAGGCAAATGCGCATTAAGTTAGGCACGTATAAAAGCATGTATAGACATGCCTTTAATGAATGCCATGGGAGGGGCAATGTAGTCCATCAGTACTTTTAACTAAGCAAGAAGTATCTGCTAATGTGATATGTTAGCATAAAATGCAGAAACACATGGGGCTGGTAAGAAAAAGAACATATTTTCTTTTTTTAGAAGTGAGCAAAGGTTATCCCCATTTACACATCTAGTGTAACTATAAAACAAACAGGTCCCATCTTTAATTTACCTTTTCTACCTCACTGAATAGCCTAGGTGTTAGAGAATTGTGTTCAGATGCATTCACCAGACAAAAAGTGTTTCCTATTATTAATGGCTGGAGGAGCCCTCTGTGTAATCAAAGGGCACAGCTGCAGTGATATACGGCCACTGACAAACCTAGAGATCTTTCCTTCTCAGTGCTACGAGCCTACCAGCTAACAGCAAGGAACTTCCAGTGCAGTATATCTGCAAGATAAATAGCACAAGATATGAATATATGTAGTGCTTACAGTCTTGAAAAGTATTGTTATATCCCCCACATACAATCATTCTAAATATGACTTGGGTGCATTTTTCACAATTTTAGAGCTATTCTTGCTGTTTGTAAATAGAAATAGTTTCTGAGCAGAGATTTAAAACCCTCTAACTGTGCTGCTTTCTGTGGTCTGATTTGGAAAACTGGTGCCTCCACAACTGATGTGTCAGCAGAGAAGCTTTCCTGAGATTCATAACCTTCTTTTACAATGACAAGCAACATGGCACTTGTCTTTGAAAGGAATTATCTAAAGAATATACAAGAAATCATTTTTATTTTGTTGATCAACAGTGTCAACATAATCTAGAGGAAGAATTCAGACTCTTTAAATATGCATCTGTAAAAAAGGAAATTATTTCAGTTATTTTATTAATTGTTTTTGGTTCTAAATTGCTATGGCATTTTAGCCCTTTGGGGTTTTTTTAAGTCATGCATGAAATGTATTAGTATTTTCATATGCTAAGAATGTATCACAATTAATACACAGACTAGGAAAAGAATATATGAGGAGATTTCCAAAGAAAAGCAAGACTTAAAACATTTGACTTATATAAAATGATGTGTTCTTTTTCTTTTCTAGACTTTCATTATTGTTGGGATATAGCTGTGCTTGCCATTCAGATTTCCATGAAAAATAAAAAGTGAAGCACTGAATGGGCAAGGCCAGCCCTTTCATCAGATCAATGGCAGAAACATGTCCACACATACAGAGGAAGTCAATGCAGCTCTGTGACCTTTTCATGAACTTTCTAAGAGATGCAAAGATCATTCAAGAAGGCAAAGGTCAGCATTCATGCTGGTCACAAACAAAAATCCGATTTAGCCATGCATTGAAAGATAGTTTCTAGTCCCCCTGTTTATTCAAAAATACACTGATAAAACACTTTATGCATGACTGCAATATGAAAAATTTAGCAGTTTAATATTTACAGCATTAGCATAGCCCAACTCTGCTATACTCATTTGCTTATTTATCAGAAATTATGCAAATTATGCATGATATGGGTCATATGTAATGTATCTACCAAAGCAAAAAAATAGTTTTAATAGAGGAAAGGAAGAGACCAAATTGGAGGAAGGTCTTGAAATGCAAAATAAACACAGATATCCTGCTTATCCAATTTATACAAAAATATTACCAGATATGTTGCCCAATATGCTGCAATACCTTTGAAGAAAAGCATGAGTTAAGGGTAAGGTAACAGTAAACAGAAAATTCGGTCTCAGATCTAAATTATTTTTCTGTTACAAATTTCTGCAGTATTTGGTAATAATAGATTAAGAATCTTAAATATAACAGAGCTAAAATAAAATACATAACAGTATAATTGTGACAAAGGCATCTTCCAGGCCCGGTATTAGTATGGCCCCGCTTTTGTCTCTGGGCAAACCACCTGCCTTGCTCACCTGCCATGCCTTGTTGATAAATGGTTATGAGGTCAAATAGGTAGAAACCTGCCCTTCGTGCACCCAAAAGACTGTGGGTGATCAGTACGTGCTCCTACAATCTGTATATGTGTCCCATGCCTCACTGATGTCTCACCATGTGATGATACTCCGGCTCAAGGCCAGGCCAAACTGGGCACACAGTTGTATCTTTATCATACTGCCTGCTTTGGGGCCACACACACACCACCCCTCTCTCACCAGGGCCTCTTGCATTCCACTGACTCTCACCTGGTCTCTTGCATACTGCCTATCCAGGCCACACTCACTCTGCCCTACTCTGTGCAGGTCCTCAGGCTTTTCTCTCCACCCCTTGGTCAGCCCTGGCATGGTCTTTTGGGCCTCTCCTGTGACCCTCACTGGAATGGGAGCAATTACTCAACTATGGGCCTGCTTTACCCTGGCCCCTCACTGGACCACTATGCCCCTCTCTCAGGCCACAACTCTACCCCTTTACACTAGGGCCTGGGGTCTTCCACCCCTTATGACTCAGCCGCTCCTCTCTGAGCTTAACTGGCCCCACAACTCTGCCCTGCAACTCTCAGGACCTGGGGTCTCTCACCCCCTTGGGCTCAGGTGCTGCTCATTCAGCATGCCTGGCCCACCTCCAGGGTCCAACACAAGCTACTCTGCATGCCTGCCCTCCCCAACTCTCCTAGTCACCCACCCAAAGACAGGGGCAGATGTTTAGGTGCCCCAACCCACCTTACACCAGGGAGGTGATCAGTCATGGTATTTATGTAGTCCTGCCCTGCCACAGGCAAGCCCACCAGGCCTCCCTATCCCAGCAGGGTGCAGTTTTA